TTTTTTTTCTGCGCCACGCACAAAGGTCCGACACCCAAAAAAAAAATATGAGCGTGTAGGGCTTTTTCAGCCCTACACGCCCATATTTTTTTATTTTTTTTTTTACGTGAAATATGGGTAAAAAAATTCATGTACCAAACTCGGCTGGTCGGCCTAGGCCGAACCAGGCCGAGTCGGTCATGGGCCTAGGCCGCGGCCGATTCGGACCCCCCGGCCGCGGTCGGGCGTGCAACATAGATTGGGGAAAAATGCAGAAGTGAGTTGACCGATTTTCTTTTGGACCATGGATCTGAGATCAGATCTCATGGTGGAGAGGATCTAGCCATTTTTTGTGGGCCAGCACAGAACGGCTAGCTCCGGAATGAGGTGGCAGCCCAAAAATGGAAAAAGACAAAGGAAAGAAGAGGAAAAAACTGTGCATTTGACCCAAAAAGATAGCCAGATGCATTAGAAATTGAGAATGTGGACTTTGGGGCCCAAAATTGAGGGAAGGGCTACCATGGGGTAGTCCAGAATATTGTGGGCCTTGGATCTCAGCCAGATCCAAGGTTGAAAATACAGCGTCACATGGAAAAATGCAACGGCCTACTAAAAAAGAGGCCAAGATCAGAAAAGTCAAGGAAATGGGTCTCTAGGCCCTTGTTTTTCAAATAAGGCTGCCCCTTGGGCATGAGGACCCTATGAAACAACATTTTTGAAATTGAAAAGAGACCAAGGTAGGCCAAGGGGTAGTCCGAGTTGGTACCAACCACTCGGACTGCATGTACCTTGCCAAAATGAGGCCCAGGTACCTCCGGAGAGGCCTAGTGCTGAGATCTTGCCTTGGGGGTACCTCGGTTCACCTTGGCGCACATGGGGAGGCTCATGGGCTGGGCGGTGTACCAGTTTCAGCCTGCATAAGCTAGGGGTTCAGTCCGACACTCCCACATTTGCATGAGAGGAGCCCATGCTGCCCAAATGAGTTCGTGAGAGCGCTCTACTCACTTGAAGTGAGAGTAGGGAAACCGCTGCCAGTATTGGAGCTTGGAGATGGTAGTGAGCTAGGAGGAGGCTCTAGAGGCTAGGTGATAGTAAGGAAAGTGGTCCGCCATAGCCCCCAGGCTGTGGGAAAGAGAGAGAGGTTAGAGGGAGTCCCACTAGCCCTCCTAGAGGGGAGGACTCCATAGCCGGAGAGGGAGAAACCATCATAGCCAAGGGAAGGTGGGAAGAAGAAGGTGAGAGGAGCATGAGGGAGGTGCAAGCCATAGCCAGGAAGTGAGCATCAAGGTTGAGACTCCACCTGGAAGCCACCAATAGAGGTGAGTGGGAGGAAAAAACTTTCTCTTCTTCTTCTTCTTCTTCTTCTTCTTCTTCCTCATCTTCTTCTTCTCCTTCTTCTTCTTCTTCTCCTTCTCCTTCTTCCTCTTCTTCTTCTTCCTCTTCTTCTTCTCTTTTTTCCTCCTTCTCCCTCTCATCCTTCTTCATCTTCTTCTTCTTCTTCCTCTTGTTTTTCTTCTCCTTCTTCTTCCTCCTTCCTCTGTTCTTTGATCTTCTCCATCTCTTGATTTTCACTTATTTGGTAGTAGGTAGAGTTGCGATTCACCCATGGATGCTCCACTGCTCTTCCCTTGTGTTTTGGCCTGCCCAATCTCTCTTTTTGCTCTCATTTGGCAGTGTGGTGAGTTCCGATTCATCCATGGATGTGCCCCTGCCCTCCCTTTGTGTTTTGGGCTGCCCAATCTCTCATTTTGCTCTCATTTGGTACTGTGGTGAGTTGCGATTTACCCTTGGATGCTCCGCTGCCCTCCCTTTGTGTTTTGGGCTGCCCAATCTCCCATTTTGCTCTCATTTGGTACTGTGGTAAGTTGTGATTCACCCTTGGATGCTCCACTGCCCTCCCTTTGTGTTTTGGCCTGCCCAATCTCTCATTTTGCTCTCATTTGGTAGTAGTTTGAGTTGCGATTCACCCTTGGATGTTCCGCTGCACTTCCTTTGTGTTTTGGCCTGCCCATTCTCTCATTTTGCTTTCATTTGGTAGTAGTTTTGAGTTGCGATTCACCCTTGGATGTTCCGCTGCACTTCCTTTGTGTTTTGGCATGTCCATTCTCTCACTTTGCTCTCATTTGGTAGTAGTTTGAGTTGCGATTCACCCTTGGATGTTCCGCTGCACTTCCTTTGTGTTTTCACCTGTCCATTCTCTCACTTTGCTCTCATTTGGTAGTAATTTGAGTTGTGATTCACCCTTGAATGTTCCGCTGCACTCCTTTTGTGTTTTGGCCTGCCCAATCTCTCATTTTGCTCTCATTTGGTAATGTGGTGAGTTGCGATTCACCCTTGGATGCTCCGCTGCCCTCCCTTTGTGTTTTGACCTGGCCAATCTCTCATTTTGCTCTCATTTGGTAGTAGTTTGAGTTGCGATTCACCCTTGGATGTTCCGCTGCACTTCCTTTGTGTTTTGGCCTGTCCATTCTCCTATTTTGCTCTCATTTGGTAGTAGTTTGAGTTGCGATTCACCCTTGGATGTTCCGCGGCACC